CTCTTAAGTAAAGTTGTAGAGTAGGTTCTTGTGATTCTAACAGTAATAAAATTATTAAAATTGGTTCAAAACTCATCAATATATAAATTTTTAAAGATTAGATATAAAAATTTATTATTAAAATTCTCTTATAGTTTTTTGAAAATTAACCAATTAAAGTTGACTTTTTTGTATAATCTAAGAAAAATATAAGTGTTCTAGGAACATTTAAGATATATACAAATATATTTTTTTTAAATTAAACAACTTATAAAATTTTAACATAATAAATAACTTATTTAAATCTATATATTATTAAATTTTAAATTAATTAAAAAATAAATAGTTTTATTAGTATCACATTTTAATTTACTATATAAAAATCTATTATATCATTTAAGTCATATGAAAAATAATCTACATTTATCCTAACCTTAAGCTATAGTTAACTTAATTATTGTAACTTCAAGTTGGTGCATATATCTAATTACTAAAATTATTTAATTGTTTGCAGAAAAATATAATCTACTAATTTATCATAATGAGTGTTGCTATTAATACCTTCTATTTTTGCTATTTGTATCCTTTTATATAAAAGTATGATAAGATTATATTGTGTTATATAAATTTATTATTATATTTACTTAGTTAAAAATTAATTATTATATAATTAATTTGATTTAGTTTAAAAGTTTTATACAATAATTAGTCAAAAAAAATTTAATATAGATAGAGAGTATAAATAACAAAAATAAAAGTAAAATAGCAATTTTTAATTTAAATTTTTTTAATTTAATCTAAAGTAATTTTAATTTTTTAATTTAACTTAAAGTAAGTTTAACCTCTAACTTTAAATTTATTTGTTTATAATAAAAATTTTATAATATTAGATAATATTATTTAGACTAAAAATTAAGTATAATCTAATAAAATATATGTTTTTAATTGTTTATAAATAAAATTTGGATAAAATATTTTAAAAATTAAATATTTTATTTATATATTTATTTTTTATTACCAATATAAAGATTACTATTTTCTAATCTATCAGTTAATTAATTTGTTTTAATTTTATTAAAATAAAACATATATAGATTATTTATTATATAATTTGTGCAATAAATTTAAATTTATATAGCAAATAAAAATATATTACTAATAAATTTTTTAAAAACATTAAATTTTTGTAATATATATTATTTTTAAAAAAACTATACTTAGAGAATGGTGATCCTAGTATTATGGTTGAGTTGTCATCCTCTAAATAGTAGGTTTAAGGTTTAAATCCCACCTATAACAAAATTTGGAAATTATAACTATATTACAATAACTGTTTTCTGTCAATCAGTTGGTCTTATGTGGCTATAACCCAGATATACCAAATTGAATTCTATTGATATTGGAAGCTCAGAGCATTTATGTGAAATATAATATTATATATATATAGAGGAATATATGACTGATATTACATAAGATTCCAGTGCAAACTTACAATAAGACTACTGGGCATAGAAGACTAAGAAATTGAAGTAACAGAAACCCACTTGAAAATTTTTGAATAAAGAAATTGCATGAACTTTTAATAATATATCAGATCAGTTGAAATTCATAAAACACCTTTATAGAAACTAAAAATTAAACCAGATATCAAATATATGTAGAGAAGTATATAACCAACTAGGCCATCAGATTTACCAGAGAAAAAGAATACAGAAGTATATCATACTAGGTCATCTAAATTAATAGTCTGGAAGAGACTGCTGGTTCTGAGTTGTAGCTAGTAGGAGATAATGATGAAGATGCCAGAAAGATAGATACTGGGGTTTTAGTGAACTTTACAAAGGTAGAAATAGTATAACATAGTAATTAAACAGATAATCCTTATGACAAAAAAATTAAATATAATAGTTAATAATATTTTTTGTTATACTAATTATATTATAAACTAATAATTATAAATAAGTTAATTTTATTCTTTTTTTTCTATTCTCAAATTAATTATAAAATCATTTTTTATTAAAATCAAACATAAAATATTTATTTTTTTAAATGACAAGTATTAGATAACTATAACATATTACATAAAACTAAGTTTGTATATATAGGATATAAAGGTTCTAGTAAGTTTCTTATTAAGAATAAAGTAGTTTTAAAGATAATATCTAGTATCAGAAACTTGGATAAGTGTAATCTTGAGGTGTTCTTAATATAAAGAAAATTGCATATACAAAGAGTTTAAATAGGCAAGACCCCTAATTAGCTTGCAGATATAGTAACTAGTATAGAACTTATATAATAATATGTAAGCAGACTACTTAAATTAGATACCAAAAGTGCATATATAACTAGTTGTAACCTCTAGCATACAGATAACCCTTAGAAGCATGTTGTGTTTTATATACTTGAATAAAAATATTATATTCCCAAGACAGGGACTTTAATTATAAAAAAAAAAAAAATTATACTTATATATATGTATTATAAAAGAGGATATAATGACCTAATAAAGTGATTAGGTTGTCAATTCTCAAGTAGCAAGTCTAGAGTTCAAATTCCATAGATGATGAATTTTAGAAAATAGGTCTGTGTTATGATAATTGTCTTTATTAATCATTTAAATTAGTGTATCTGTAACCTTCAGTTATACTATCTTGAATGAGAACTCAGAACATCTATGCTAAGTATAATGTTATATTTATATAGAGAAATGTTAATAACCAGTATTTTATAAAATTTCAGTGCAACCTATGATAAAACCACTGAGCACAGAAAGTAAAGAAACTAAAAAATCAAAAATTTACTTGAAATCCTAACTAAAAAGATAGTACAAAACTTTTAACAGTATTATTAGACTAATTAAAATCCATGAAACACTCCCAAAGAAATAGGTAGATAAATCAAATGACAAGATGTGTAGAGAAGCATATGACCAACTAGGTTGCCAGAATCATCAAAGAAAAAGAATACTAAGATATATCATATCAGGCCATCTGAATTAAGAGTTCAGAAAGTTCTATCAGTTCTAAATAAAAGTTAGTAATAGTTGATGAAGAAAACATCAAAAAAATAAGTACCAAGGTTTTAGATGAACCTTATAAAGATAAAAATGGTTTAATAGTTAACCCTGATTGCAAGTGATGATTTAAGTCAAAGCAATACTAGATGAACTGTAAATATGAAATACACACTATAGGTTTAGCATAAAATTAAACATAACTTAGTAATTATGATATATCTTTACTAATTTATTAAAATCACTAATAGGATGTGATGAATATAGAATCAGAATGTTTAAATAGAAGACTTACAGGTAGGTCCTAGGTATAGTAACTAGTGTAGAACCTTCAGATGAACTACTTAAATTAGACAATAATTAAAGTTGTGCGAGTAACTAATTGTACACTCTTTCTATAATCACCTTTGTGTTATTATATCAACAGATGCTGGCCAACTGATACTACCAATAAAATCCTAGGTCACATGTACTCACCTTAACATTTAAAAAAATATATATATATATGTATTATAAAAGTCTTAATGGTAAATCCAAATTCTCAATAATAACATTCTGATTGGTTGATTATCATATGATTTTTATAATAGAATTATAATACCTAATTTTAAATAAACCTATCTAAATAAATTTTTAATCCGAATTTAGTAATTATTCTATTATTAGAATTATAAAAATCTACTTTACAAATTTGCTTAAAAGCTTAAAAGCAGTTAAGTTAATGAAAAGATTTTCAAATACCAAAATAAAAAAAATTACGATTAAAGATTTTCATGTTACACCTGATCCTGCATCCCGATTGAATGATAACTCTCTTTTACTTATAATATTTAATATTAATTAGCTGATTTTTGAAATATAACAATTATAATATATATTTACATCAATCAATAAACAATTTACATATTAAATTAAAATTAGATATTAGAGTAAGGCTTTTGAGAGTGCTACACATTTTTTATTTAGACATTGATCATTTAACTATTTTTGAGATATAACAAATGTGGTATGAAACACCATTGGTGTAATTTAGTAAAACCGTTCTGGTAATTTAAGATTGATCTCTGCTTTTTAAAAAAATCTCCTTTTTATTAAAATTTGGGCAAAAAGGCACCAAACTGGCAAAAAATAAGGGTTGTGAAAAACTGATGTTTTATTGTTGAATTGGTCTTTTTTCCCAGCACTAGACCATTTAATAATACAGAGCCTAAGTTGCAATTCGTACGGTTTAAAAAGATTACTTTAATCCTATGACTTTACGAATTTCATCTAAATTCTTTTCAGCTATTATGGAAGCTTTTTCAGCACCACCTTTCAATACTTGTTGCACATAACCTTGCTCGAATCTCAATCTTTGAATTTCCTCTTGAATTGGTGACAATTTCTCTATTATTACTTGTGTTAATGCATCCTTAAATGTCTTGATATCACTTTTACTATGCTCAACTATGGCTTGATCAACAGTTATTTCTTGCATAGCTGCATAGATAGTGATTAGATTTGCTATGGCCGGTCTTGTTATTGGGTCATAAGTGATGCATTTTAAAGAATCTGATGTTGATTTTTTGATTTTTTCAGCGATTATTGCTGGTGAATCGTCTAGATTTATCCGAGTGTTTGATGGATCAGATTTAGACATTTTTTTTGAAGGATCATAAAGTGACATGATTCGCTTTGCCGATGCTGTTTCAAGTTTCATGTATGTTATTTATGATACGTTAATGTGATATATTGAATTGAAAGTTACAGAAAAAAAATAAAAAAAGTACGTCACTCATAATTGATAATGGTAAAGGAAATACATTTTGATGAAACATCTTGTTAAATGTTACAGCGATGTCTCTTGTTAATTCTAAATGTTGGACTTGATCTTCACCAATTGGTACATGTGTTGCTCTAAAAATAAGATGGAATGTAATATCGTTTCTTTCGTGTTAATATCAAATAATTTATATATAATAAAGTCATACTTGTAAAGCAGAATGTCAGCAGCTTGTAATACAGGATAAGAAAATAATCCCAAACATAGACCTGAAGATGAAAGCACTTCATCATCGATAGATTGGATATTTTTATTCAATTTAATTTTTGCCTAATGAAATAAATAATTTGATTAGCAAATTATTAAACTCACGTGATAAGCAACATATCATTACCTTCCATTGGGTCATTCGCGATAACCAACTCATTGGTGTGATACAATTAAGAAACCATGCTACTTCAGTATGAGCTGGTATCTTTGACTGCTCGAATATAAAACTTCTCGCCGGATCGATTCCACATGCTAATAATATAATTGCTGTTTCTAACTTACTTTTTTTCAAATGTTCTGGGTCCCGTGGAATAGTCAGAGCATGTAAATCAACAATAGGATATAATAATTTTACAGAATCATGTGTGGTTCGCTGGAGGGAAACCCATTTCGAGATAACGCCAAGAAAATTTCCGATATGCGGAATATTAGTTGGTTGTATGCCAGATAAGATCAATTCGGGAAAATTAGGCCCCACCGACATATAAGTTCTCTGTATAAAAAATATGATCCGTAAATGTTTTAAAAGTCAAGGAAAAATCGAATGGATTGGATACCTTTATCGATCGTGAGACTGTTGCACCTATATTCATTGCCTTAACATTTGGATATTATAAAAAATGATTTAAAATTTCACAATCGAAGATAATCAATTTCAAAGTTACACAGAACAAGTTGGTTATCCGGTTTTTGCAATTGCGTATTAATTTAGTACGTGATCTACCGTGTTTACAAAATAAACAAAAAAAAGGTATATAAGAATCACTTTTATGTTTACGTGACGTGTTAATTCGAAGCCTCTTGATGCTGTATCGCCGTATCGCACTGATTGAAGGACCCACTGTTTATTCTTTGAACCGTTTAACGTCCAAATTTGGACGTTAAAATTTTTTGACCTGTTTTTGTTGCAGAAATACCGTTTCTGATGGATCGTCTGTTAAATCGGGTTGTTTATTGATAATTGTCACATTCTTTTATAAAAAAGAAGATGCGACGATTACCAATGAACAGCCCAATTTTACAGCACTGGTCGGTACTGTTTCTGACAGCAGTGTTGGATGAGGGTACGTATCATTTTATAGAAGTTTATTTTGTAGATATTTCAGTTCAAAGACAATTAATTCATAGATAAGTTTATTTTATAGACAATTAATTTATAGACAAGTTTATAATAGATAATTTATTTAATAGATAAGTTTATTTAATAGATAATTTATTTTGTAGACAGTTTATTTTAGAGACAGTTTATTTTATAGATAGTTTATTTTATAGATAGTTTATTTTATAAACAGTTTATTTTATAAATAGTTTATTTTATAGACAGTTGATTTTAAAGACAAGTTTAGTTTAAAGACAAGTTTACTTCAAAGATAATTTATTTCAAAGATAAGTTTATATTAAAAATAATTTATTTCAAAGACAAGTTTATATTAAAGATAATTTAAGGACCTGTGGGTCAATAGTGCAGTGGTTAGCATTCCTAGGTCACATTTGCAAGGTTGCCAGTTCAATTCCAACTGGAGGAAAAAGCTGTGCCAGGACCACAATTGTTATAATCTTAAGGGAATTTCTTATTTCTCATTTCTACTTCTAGACAAGAATATTACAAGAATAAATGATTTATGAGGATTGTCTACTTCCAATTTCAGACAAAGTACTACAGCAAGAACAAGTTGAGTGACATAGTTACAGGGTTACACGATGCTTAGATAAGAAGATAATCCAACAAGAAATGTCGATAACATAAGGATTCCAGATTAGAAAATTACCGTAAAAGGCAATAGAAATAAGAAGACAGAACCTGAAAGGATTATTGTTGATAGGGAACTGCGAACTCGAGTAAAGGGTCCTACACTGTGGGGCCAGAGACCTGGGTTATCACAATAGTGATAAACTTGTTAATAATATGATATGGTGACGCTAGGGAACACCACTAGTGATGTATATAGCAACTAAATATATAAACCTGTAGGTTCTAAACATTAAAGTTAATAAAGAAAATTAGAGCACCACACATGCTTCATGATGTAATACATCGGGAATAGTTAAAAAAAAAAAAAAAGATAATTTATTTCAAAGACAAGTCTATTTCAAAGACAATTTATTTTAAAAACAAGTTTATTTCAAAAACAATTTATTTCAAAAACAAGTTTATTTCAAAGACAAGTTTATATTAAAGATAATTTATTTTAAAAACAAGTTTATATTAAAGATAATTTATTTCAAAAATAAGTTTATTTCAAAAATAATTTATTTAACAAGTTTAATTTTAAAAATAAGTTTATTATAAAAATAATTTATTTTTTGATCTATAAGATTATTTTTTTGATAACATTTATATGAAACTTTTATTTTCTATGCTAATTATAATGTTTTTCTTAGGCTTTTATATAACCAAATAATGGCAATATCTTAGTTCTACCTGCTTGTATAGGGGTTTTACCTTTGAGCTCTTATTTTAGAACTCAGAACCTGATGCTTTAGCTTGGCCTACAAGACTCATAGATACCTACAGGCTAATATAAATAATAGAAAACTAAAAAGGTCCAGTATAGCTGTTCTCATTAATTTTGGAACATCAGATAAAAAATTGATCAAATAATTGTTTGGCTAATTCAATAAACTTGTGATATGGTAGTAATAAACTTTAGTAATTAGTATATAAAATAATATATTTTTTAAATAATAATAATATATATTTTTTAATTTATAGTGATAATGTTTAACAATGTTAATATATTTAAATTAGGTTTTTACTTAAATACATTTTCAATATGTTTTGTGTATTTAGTCTATATTAGAGTTGCTAGTAAAACTGGTAGTAAATAGTAGTGAATAGTGGTAAAACTGATAAAATTAATCACTTGTTCTAAGTTTTTACTCTATGAAATTAAGACTTACAGAAAAAGTGTATTAGTATTTCAAGAAAAAAAAACATAAGAGAACTTAAAGAAAACTGATACTTATAATAAAAAAATCTAATTTCTAATTCCCATATCAATACTAGGTTTTGTTTACAAAAAAAGTAGTTAGTTGCTCAGAAAGAAAGAAAAAAAAAAACTAGTTTTTATAACATATTGTTGGGTTTGGAAGATTGTAACTCTGTTACTTTACAATTCTAAATCTTGCATAATATACAATAAGTAACCTTTTCAAAAGAGAATGTTAGATTTGGCTGATGGGTGATTTAAGGCTTTCAGTTACTTTGGGATCAACAAATACAAGTAAGATAAGCCACATGAACAAGAACTTAAATGAATAATAAAGTTTATAGATTTTATAGAGTTTGTATTAAGTATAGTGTTAGTATTTTATTATAGATATTATAATATATTGGGACTTGTATTTTTTTTTTTTTTAATTTTCTACTGCATGGTTGCTAGTGGGCTGCAGCTGGTGACTATTTTATTAGTTCATATTTCAAGTTCACAGGACCTTCTATCAGAATCCCTTCTACATTTTTACATTATTTGTGTACATTTTTACAGTATTATCTATATACTAATTTTTGTGTTTCTATTATCCTGAAATTTTATTGATATTATTCCTAATCAGAGATTCCTTTGTTCTATTATTATCCTTAGCTCTCTAATCATTGTAGCCTTCTTATATTAAGTCTGTCACCATTTAAGGATCTGGATACTAAAGATCTTCCTATTTTCATAGTTCACAGTTAGCTGTAGTTAATTAACAATCATGGTCCTAACTCAGTTTTCATCTCCTATTGGACTTGAACTGGCAACCTTGTGATTGGCAACCTGGGAGTGTAACCACTTCACTATCAGCCTACAGGTCAGACTTGTATTTTAAAAAGCAAATGAAGCATACTGCTCCTAAGGACCATTATAGCCTTTATTTATAATACTGAATTTATCAGTTATAAATATGACTTATCTATTAAAACTAATTAAACTATTTATATATTATATTTAATATCCTTCATTTCCTTCTTTTATCTTCTATATACACTCTTTTAGATCCAAAATATTATTCTGATCTTAATGTAACTTATTGCACTTATTGCATTTATTGCATTTCATGTATTTTTCACATAATCAATTATAATATTCTGGTATTACAATATTAACAACTAATGACAGTACTAACTCTTGCCTAGCCTATTTACTCTAACCTAATGTTATTACTGGAAGATCACTGAAAGACCACTAGAAGTAAAATTAATAATGTTATTAAAAATTCTAATAAAATTTTGTTTTAATGACACTATTGATTTTGCTTTTAGTGACAACACTACTCTAACTATTCTGACCTAATTTCAATTAAATGTTTTGCACAACAACATAATGATGTAATTCCACTAGTGACTATTTCACAAACAGCATAGTGATTAACAAAATCTACATCAAATCTAATATCTCAAAATACTGTAGAAAATCTGAATAAAGTTTACTATGATATGACTATTAAAAATCCTAAAAAAAAAAAAAATTTAGGCAGACACATATTGGTACTAATGTAAAGATTGAACTAAGCAGCAAAAAAGAATAAACAAATACTTACTATATAAGAATCAATATTACAAAATGACAAAAAAAACCCATAGTATAACCAATCATAAAACATATAGTAAAACTTACGAATTTCGAATATAATGCTTATTTCCTATTAAATACAATTCAAACTACTTCATTTGCATTAATCATTTTATTCATCTTGTGAATTTAAAGATCATTTATTAATTTTTAAAGTTAAAATCAGCAAAACCAGCTTATAAATCACAAATATAAATACTTATTTACTATTACATACAATTTAACCTATTTTTTTATATTAGTAATTTTATTAGCTTATAAATCTAAAGATTATTGGAATTAAAATCAGTAAAATTAGCTTACAAATTATGAGATAAATACTTATTTACTATTACATATTTCTTTAAACCTTTTTCATATTTTTTAATATTTTTTATATATTAACTTCTTCTAAACAATATGAGTATCATAAAAGAATTTAATTTTATAATAACAAATACAGTTAAACCTTCCTAAATACAATTTGTAAAGACCAAACCTTTGATAGCTTTAGAGTTGGCAATGCAGTTATAATTCTAATGATGTACTACTGATATATGAACAAGACCTTTTGGTGCATAGTGCATTACTTTATTATATTATATTGTCTAATAATAACTATGTTTCATGTTTATTTATTGTTTATATTAGAAATTTACAAAGCAAATTAATCATTACTTCTTTCACCTCTTACTGTAATCTGTAACAAATTATTATTAAACTAAAAATTAAATAAACTTATATTTCAGAAGTTTAAAGTCAATTGAAATGTTTATATATATAGTAACTAGGACACACAATTTTCTTGTAAAATGCTGAAGGTTCTATTTAATTAAGTTGATTTTTGGCATAGTTTTTAAAGTGTTAGAACTTTTATAAAAAAAATTTGTGCCCTAACCAATACATACTACTCTAATATAAAGTAAATTTAAATGGTTGGCTTATTACCTTTACATTATACCTGTTACTAAGTACCTTGCACCTCCAACCTTAGATAGCTTATATTTAAAAAATAAAAAAATTGCATTTAGTATATATTTTGGTCAGAGTTAAAGCTACATTTAGAGAGATGTTATCTTTAGAGAGTTGTACTTAGAGAGGTTAATATACTAGCTACCTATACCATTATATATATATTCAAAAAGTCAGAAGGATTAGATTCTTATATTGTATTATATAATATATATGTATATATATATGTATATTTATATTCATATACAAAAAGTGAAAAATTATCAATCTTGTTCTTTTGCTTGTCTTTGATGATCAGTAATTATCATTTTATCAGCCTGGTAAAAAATCTAATAAAAAAAAATAAAAAATATTAAATATCTGATAAATAATATATATAAGTCTATATTGGCAACCAAATTCTGTATATAAAAGTCTTATTTTTACTATTGCACATCTTTTTTTTCATTAACAGCATAAGGAAAGAGTTATATAAGTTATATTACAAACTTATATATATACACTATACATTGTATATATGGGTTAATGGCAGTTTTATATTATTAGCAGCATAATATCTAATATATTATTATTATATTACATTTTTACTTTATATATAATAATTTAAAATGTAATATTATATGCAATACTATAAAGAAAATTTATTAAAAATCTATTATTTCAATTATCAAAAACTGCTTGAATATGTTGTTATGTTCAATATTGTATCTTCATTATGGAGGTCAAGGCACTTTTTGCAAAATTGATTCAATACAAAGTTAAACATTGTTTTGTTTTTTTTTGATTTTCTTAATCATTTTTAAAACACCAATATGTTTATAATCAATTAATGTTTTCTACCAAAAGTGCCAACCCTCAACAGAGTTTGTAGTTCTAGAATAAACTAATTCAACATTACTAGAGATTGACCAAAAATAAGATAAAAATAATGATTCAGATCTGATTTTATTTTCACTTCTTTGTATCCTTCTAATTTCACTATGCACATAATTACATTCAACCTATCTAATAATTTCTTGAACTTCTGCTAGAAAATTATTTTTTAACTCATTGAATGCTGCAAGAATTTTCTCTGCAAAGAGAAATGCAAGAGCAAAAATATGGTTTATTTTTAAACTAAAATCTATATTGGTGTTATATCTTATAGCAAGTCCAAATGACTGAAGCTTACAATAAACAGATTGAGCTAAATGGAATAAACAACTTTTATTTCTAACATTTTTAAATTTTGCTTGAATTGCATTAATTGCAACTAATTCAAAATCAGTTAAGTCTATATTTAAATATAAATCAATATACTACTCTTCATTATAATTTATTAAACAATAAAATAATTCTCTATAACACTCCTCTAATTTGCTAGTTGTTAAAACAAAAACAAGTAGCAGTATTCTAAAATTTTCTTCTACACCAACTTGTCTATGAATAGTATATAGCTGTTTAAAGATAAATGGAACCATTTTGAAGGTTCCATCTATTATTCAAAAAGGTAATTAGTTCAAATTGCAAATATTACTAACAGTTGTAAAAATTAAAATATAATTTTAACCTATAATAGAATTCTTAACTAAAAATCTACACCACTATAAGTTTTTTTAAAATTTTCTGAAACATAAAAATCTTCTAGAGATTGTAGTTTAACAGGTTTGTTTGAATGTTGAATTCTTTAAATAATTTAACAAATCACATTTTGAAAAGAAAGATATGAAGACTTATGAGGACTGTTAGCTATTACAGTTTGTAATATTTGTATTGGGTTATAATTAGTTTGTTGTGCTAGCTTTTTAATTTTATTAATAGCTTTTATAACTTCCACTTAGCTAGCATCAGCTATGTGATTATGTTCTGATACTGAGATATCTTGAAGATAGTGCTAGTTATTTATTAACTTTGTTATAACATGTCTAGTATATCTTAGATTATTGCATTTCTCACAATACCAATAGTAGGTATTTTTGTAATGCTTATCTTTATTTATAAGAAAACCTTTAATATTTAGCTTATCTTGGCCACAAATAGAAGAAACAACTTTGCAAATTGTATTATCTATATTTATTAAAAAAAAGTGAATAGTAAAAAAACTTTTATATATTGCATATTAGTTAACAGTAATAATATAATTAGTAGTTATAAATATAAAAAAAAAATAACAAAATTAAACAGAGTATTCAAATTTTGATTTGATTTAAGTTGAAAACTTTTTAACTCAAATTAATATATGATGAACATATAGAATCATATATATCATATGTAATATTAACTTTTAACATAGAAAAAAAACTACAAGCCAAGTATTATAATGCACTATATATATATTGATTTTCAGTATTAAGTATATCTCTGCTTTCTGTTGTACTTTGCTGATTTTGTTTTCAAAATTGCTTTCAGATAGAAAAAAAAAAAGATGTAATAACTATACCATAATATTTAATTTTTTCTTAAGTCTTAATTAATTTTTATATCATTCAATTTATAGTAAAATAAATCAAATAGTTCAATTTTTGATCAGTGTACTCAAGGCAATAAATAAAGACTAGTTTTTTTATTAATTTTGATTGAACATATTATAAATTATTGTGCAACTATAATTATTAACAACTTGATAATATAAAAATTTTGTAGTCTTATGATTTTTACTTAATCTAATTGTAAAATTAGTATGTATATGAAGTAAAATTAGCATGTATATAAAGTAAAAACATTAAAGGTAAAAAAAAACTGAAAAATTACAAAAAACTCAAATTTAAAAGAAAAATTAGCCTTTTGCTATTAAATTAAAAGTTTTTGGCACAAAAATTTAGATATATTCTTTCTACTATACTTTGTATTAATGATAATTAGGATATTAATTAGCATAGGACTGAAAAATTTTTGTACAATTACTTTTATTCTATTCTTACAGTTTACATTATTACTGCTTTTATGTTTTTTTTTTTATAGCTTAAATTTTAATGACAGTTTTATGTTAAAAAAAGTTTAAATTAATAAAATAAACTATACAAATAAATAAATAGTGTAGTCTACAATATGTAACTACTTCACAATAAGAACACTTGCAGTTAAATTTTTAGTTAATATTATCTTGAAAGAAACAAACATAAATATGAGACAATTTAATTGGTCGATATAAATCAAGTGATTGATGAGAGTTATCTAGCAATTTGATTAGTTATTCTTTTTCAAAGAGAGACTGGAAGGTAATATTAACCAAAGAATTAACTTCAAACAATCTAACTATAGATTATCATATCTTTAATTTGTATTGAATATGTTTCAGTCATTGGGTGTAAGAAATTCAGATACAAATCAATAACCAATCTACAGTAATAATTATTTAGCTCTAATAAGCTAATATAGTGTTGATGAAAAATTACTGAATTATAACATTTTACCAGATGGTAGAATTAATTACTGCATACTACCTAATTGTTGTAAATATTATATGCTGTAAAGTTGTAATGCCACAATTTCATAATGTTGCAATGCTAAAATATTATAATAGTACTTAATACAGTAATAACTATAAATATTATTCTGCTTAAACTAGTTAGTTTATGCTTACAGCTATTATCATAATTTTTAAAACATCTACTCTTTATCTGAAATCTTTTTGATCATTTAGTAAATTATTTAACTATTTAGAAATTACATTACTGCTTTCAAACTGAAGGTCTAAAAACAGTGATATAGTTTTTGAAGAATTAGGTAATTTACCAAACAAACAAAAAAATTTCAGGTAAGAAGTAGGTATTCCAAAAATTATAATAATAATTATAAAAACTTGTTAGAACACTGTTTCAAATTATTATACAAATAACTTTGTTGGTTAATATTACATGATCTAATAATCAGAATCTAACAATTTTAATATCATTTAATTTGTCTCATTAAAACAAATCAAATAATATCAAAATTATTTGATTTTGATTACTAGATCACAAGTTATTACAAAATAAGTTAAAAGTTAAAATTTTAATAAATTTAAATACATAGACCAATTATGATGCACACATAATATTATTATTAAGACAATTTTATTCAGCATTAAAAGTTCTATTTACCTTTAAATTTTTATAATTTTTTATTAATTAATTTTTATAAAATACATTTTTAAACCCAATGAATGTATTATAATACAAATATATTTTTTTATAAATATTAATTAATAAATTATTATCTAATCTTTATAAAAATTTAAAAGTAAGTAGAATTTATTATAGTGAACAAAATTGTCTTAATAGTAAAGGTTGATTTAATTAATAAAATTTTTCACTATTGGTTAACTTTTATTATTAAAATTATAATTTAAAAAATTTGCTTATTTTATTTAAACAAAAATAGAGTGACAGATAATTTTACTACTAACTGATTTATCTTGTCAAGATGAATCAAATAATAGTAAAATTTATCTAATTCTAATTAACATATCATAGGACCAATTACTTAACTCTTCCCATAGATCACTAAAACCAACTTCTCTCAAACAAACAATTCAACTTTTCTCAATATTTTACTAAACTAACAACCCTTAAACTTCTAATTAAACTTCTTCTTTACAACTTTCTAACATAAAAACAATATAAATTTATTTATATCTATTCTTCTGATATAAAAAACTCTTACATTTAAATAAAATTATCTTTATTTATACAACTTTTAACTTTCTTCAATTTATACTTAATATTACTTCTTTACTTCTGTTTAAATTAAATATACTAAACTCTCTACTTCTAACTATACTAATTTCACCAAATTCTAATTACTACATTACGTATAAACTAACATTTTCTAAAAAAACACATACTCTCTATTTTTATTAATTTCTACTAAACAAACTTATCTTCTTCTACTAAACAAAAATATCTAGCTCACTAAGACAATTATTTTAATATATATTTTATCTTAAATGGACCAAAACTTACTAAATTATCTATATTTCTATCTAAACTCTCATCCAAACCTTCTTCTGAAATTCTATTGGCCAATTTCAGAAAATTTACTGGGTTGCCCCAGAAATTTCACTTTTTACCAACCTTAAAAATATCCAAATACCCATTATTTTTTTCAATTTTCCTCAAAGAAATCTGGAAAATTTACTGGCTCACTGAAAAATTTACTGTCAATCTTAAAAAACTCAATTTTCTCGTCTAATTTCCATTCTTTTCACCTGTTCTTTCTTGCTACCTATATTATAAAACTTTCTATTCTTACTAAAAACTACTCTAAAAAGTACTTCTATATCTCTGTTTCAAATTATTCTCAACTTTAAACCTTTTTTAAATATTATTATCGATTATAATCCTAAAATGAACCTACAAATTACAACACAACAAGACCAACTCTTAGACTGGTTCAAAAGCTATCCTATATCAAAAAACTCCTCCTTATCTTTACTTACAACATCTGGAATTTAAACTTTAGATTTCTTAAAACCAATCCTTAAAGACTTCTATCCTGGCTCAATTATTAACTCTACAACAACAAATGAATCAACTATAAACAGTGTTGGCCAAATATGGACATGGACAATATAGACTATTGAACATGAACAAATATGGACTATGTCCATATTGTTCATATTTTTTGATTAGACATAAGTGCTTAGTCCAAATTCTAACATGTAATTTGTGTAACCTTTTTCATAAGTTTTGATTGGCTAAAAGAATTAAAGCCCAAATAAGTCTTACTTAAAGTTTTAATTTTTAGTTGTATGTTCGCACAAGAGGTATCTCTAATAAATATTATTTCTCAGATTATTTGTGCTTGCAAAAGACAAAAGCTATATTAACTATGAATTTTTTTATTTTTTTCTTCTATTGTTAAAGTTTATTCTTGCCCGTCCCAAGTGATTATTAATGCAATTTTTTTTTTAGAAAAGTTTCAAATTCTTAAATGTTATCACTAACTTTCAATCAATATATCATGAACATAATTAATAAACAAAGTGATGTCATGATGTCTGCATTAAGTATATAGATTATATACTGTGAAGCTAGATGCAAAACTCTTTGTCATATCATAAAAGTGGTTAATAATACAAAAAGTGCAAAGCAAAATAGTACTTAGGAAGTTTATATTTTTATTAGCTCTTGAGCTAAAATGTTCTTAGACAACATTTGCCTATAACTTGTTAGATATAACCTAAGTGGTCAACACTATCCTTAAAAACCTTTCCCAAACTTAAAACTACAAGAAGTTTAAATAAAATATAATAAGCATGAAAATACAACCAATATGTCTATATTTATAATTATCCATCTACTAATATTTTTTATGATTATTAAAATGTGCAAGTGATTTCTAATTTCTTAATGCTATTTTGTTATTTGGGTTAATTTCTAATTAACTATTTAAATTTACAAAAGATTTTTTATATCTGTTGAAAGCTTTCTCTACGGTTATTTAAAGCTGTTGCATAGTTTGGTCAATTTCTAATGGTATACTAAAGCTCGCAAGTACATAATTATTAAATTGATATTATGTTAAATTAATTTTTAATTAGTTAAATTCGCATTTACTGTAAATAAGATTACTACTTACATTCCTAATCACCCAAAAGCAAATAGATAGAATCAGGTTGTACTAACGAATCTGCAAAAATATCTGACAATTTCCATTTTGCTTCCAAATTATCTGCAGAATGAATTAAAAAATCTTGGTGCATTACTTCATCTTCTTCTTCATACAAGTCGGTTAAACTTTCTGATTCATCTGAACTTGCTAAATTATATTGCATATGCTCATCTTCTTCTTCAGTTAGATTTATTCATCGTTCTACAATTACTTTCCAGTCATCTACACAATTAACTGTTTCTATATGATCGTTATCCCTAGTATCTCCTGTATCAATATTATTATTATCAGTGTTTTCATCTGATAATATAAATTCCTCTTCGTTGTCATTATCAGGGCTTATTTGTTCAAATGGAATAGCAATATTTTGTTTATATGTTTTTAATGACTTATCAATCGTCACAATATTTTGTAAATATAAAAGCTCTGATCTTATTTGGCTCATAGCAAGGACTTTTTTATACTATTAGATATAAAATTTAATAAACATAAATGATTCTGTGACTAATTGGATATTTTATTACCAATACAATATTTGACAAACGAATGATTTATGTAAGAAATAATGGTTAGGGTTAGTAGTTTAAAAAATAATTATTTTGTTAGAGTGCAAAAGGTGTTTTTTTTAACATTTTAATTTCATTCTAGTTCATATAGTAATGATATATCATATTGGCAATAAATTTATACATTGATATTTAAAAAAAAAAATAATAATTTACCTGAAGTCGATTACGATGATCTAAGTGATACCATCCTATTGCAGAGAATAACTGTTCTACTGATGTTGTAGTTATACAAATTGAAAAAATACAAACTGCCACAAGATGCAATTCTACAGCAATTCCTTTACAAAAACTTCAATAGTTTAGCACATTACTACCATATTGGTCAAAAGTTTCTTTATCAAATGGGTATTCTTCACTTTCATAATATTGCAATTCATGCAAAATAGAACATGGAGGTTTACCAAACCAAGATTTATAATAATGTACAATCCATTCTCCTATATGCATAAAAGAAAGACCATCAATATTTTGGTTAAATTGTGTATTATGATAACTCAGATGTAATAAAAAAGACAAAAGTAACAACGGTTGCTTCCAGGCTAACCATCGTTTTTTTAATTTCATTAGCAAATAATTTTTAAGATCCTGATTAATAATACTTTTAATAACTTGGCACACCCATCCAAAACTATGCAAAACTTCAGTAAGACAGCCTTTATCTTGCTGAAGTTTATTTAATGATGCCATATACAGTTCAAGAAGAACCTTTAATTGTATAAGGTTTTTCTACCACTCATTGTCTGAAATATTAAAAAGAATACTTCTAGGAAAACCTTTAAGGTTATCATCATTTTCTTCTTCTATTCTTGTAGCTAAGTTTTTGAGTGCAGCACAGGACCTAATAATGCTAGCAAAGCACAGATAGTGACTATTCCATCAAGTAGAATTTGGGATTACAAAAGAAATATATGACTTATATAAAGATGCTTGCTCTGAACGAAGGTGCCTCAAAAAAAATATTGACTGATGAAAAAAGGATACAAGACAAATGGCTTGTTCAGCAATAGCTAATAATATGTTTGAAATTTTAAATATATCACCAACATACAAGTTCATTTGATGTGCAAAACATGGGATAAATATAATTTCTGAATGCACATGCTGTAAACATTTTCTAAATTTAAAAAAAATTTATTAATAATGATGCTGTATCACTTCACTGATATAGATACAACATTTTACTAATGATCAATTTACTAACATTGACAAGTTCATTTCATCGACATTTTATTTCACACAGCTCATTTCGCTGACAAGTTTTTTTTTTTTTTTTTATAAATTACACTAATCTTAACTCTAAATCTAACCTGAACCTAATGACAATGACTAGAATTACCTTGTCAGGAAAATAAGCTATAAATAAAATAAACTATCAGTGAAATAAACTTATCAGTAAAATAAGTATAGTATTGGTGAAATAAACACGTCAGTAAATTAATTGTTAGTAAAGTGCCGTATCTACAAAATGAGCATTGGTGAAATAAGTATATCTAATATTACCTAGCTGCTTCATATTCAGATGCACAATCTGTTACAATAGCAATAACTTTTATTTCTTTTTTTTTTAGATCATCAAGCATATTTTCTGTTCAACATTGTACATCAGGCCATTTCGTATGTTCATTTGATATATCTTCTGCACTTCAAACAAGAATTTTACCCTTTGAAGTAATTAAAACACTTCCGAAAATTGACTCTTTTTTTATATTTTTCCAACCATCATATGCTAATATAACACTATTTTATTATTTTGAGCTATTTCTTTAATTAATTTAGTTATATTTTGTGTATATTCTGCTAAAATTCGGCCACCAAGCTTTTTTCATGAGGGCAGTTTAACTGGTAGATAGAAAAACTCAAAAAGTGCCTTTATTTCTGGGTTTTCTACTCAAAAAAAAGCCAAACCACATGAAACAGTTGCTTTAAGTAGAAGTTGTTTGAAATGTTTCTGTTGATCTTCACTTAAAGGCCACAATAAATATCGATCTATTCTATTTTTTTTGCTTCGAAACTTATCTGACTGAAGAGAGCTGGCAACCAAAGAAACTTCTGATTCAGTAGCAGAATTATCATCGATACTTTCTTGAAAAGCTAAGTTAAAAATAAAACCAACATTTATATATACAGAAAGCAAACAATACTGTATTTAATTAATTAAGCTTACAATTATTAGTTGTTGAAACCACTTTATCTGATTTGACTAGAATTTCTGCTTGTTCAGATTCACTATATTTTTGTTTAAAATATATGCAATTTTTTAAGTGATGGCGAACTAACTCTTGTGTATTTGCAAACCTATTATTATATGCATCTTCATAAGAAGAACCAATTACACATTCTTGACAAACACAGAACTTGTTGCTTTTATTTGTTTTTTCATCAAGCATGATTATAAATTCCAATAGATAATAGGGTTGTTTGCCCATATTTATATGATGAGTAAGCAAAGATGATTAAACCAGTAGAATTATCAATGTGAGACTTTGAGATTGCTACTTGGTTTCTTAATCAAACTTTGTCTCTAAAAATTCTTTAACTATTTATTTGTTTTTATTTATATTCTTAATTCAAATTTTTGAATTCTCCAACTGACCTTATTAAACAGTATGATAGATAAATTTCAAATACATAATAGTCACTTAATATGGTAATGTAAAGAACAATATGGTACTACTAAAAAAGGCCTTTTATTTTTTATTTTGCAAAATAAGCAACTGAGATAATTGTAATTATGATGATTATACTATTGATTGTTACTAAATTTATCTATATCATACGATGGTCTCATTCAGCGATTCAGACTTTTGAATTATATGTAACAATTCAAATTTATTCATATTACTACATTAGATATAGTATACTAATGAAAAGAGTCTGAATTGCTGAAAGGGGTCAATAAAGCCTTTTATTCGAATAAACCATAATAACTAATTATAGTGATCACTCTACCCAAATAAAGTGTATTTTCAAGCATTTCTCTCAATGGACTCAACAAAGAATTAGATCAATCTGTCTAATAGACAGCTGATCAAATTCTTTGTTGAGCTTACAAGAAAGTTGTTTGAAAATGCCCAAAGTATCGTTATGATGCGAAAGATTTTTTTAGACCCATTCTATTTTACATTATACTAAATTAAAATTTTCTTTATTAAACCAGTTTTGAAGAAACAAAATGCACAAATACTAATCAGAAGTTATGATATTCTCACGATGGCATTATTTTCAGCTTAACACATTATTTAACAAAATTACCAAGATAGATTTTCTATTGTGATTATTACTGTCTAGTATCATTATAGTTAGATTACTTACAACACTTGATAACAGTAAAATGTTCAAAAATCTGTATCATTCACCTTTGGCTAAAAGTAGAGATCAAGACTTATGCAATTTTTTCTGGGATTTTTCATTGTTTGAACAATGACAAATTCCCGAAATTGCATAAACCTGGACACTAGTTAAAATAAAGAACTATTGTTAAATAAATAGTGTACCACCTACCCGAACATGCTATCATACAAATATTATTTTACTATTAATTTAAATTGAACCATATTCGTATTTGTATATATGTACATATATAATTTATTTAAAAGGCCAGCATGAGGTATTAAAAATAATTAGCATACAACAGCATATTTTAATTAACAATGCCAAAATTTTTTGTTCGTTATTAGCCATATATCATCATGAATTAACGTTAATTGTATTAATTGTTCAGGCACAATTTTTAAACTTGTTCTTTTTCACCCATTGTTAAATAATAATGTTGACAAATATGAAAGTATGAGATAATGACTATAAATGTCATGGAAAGGATGCTAAAAAAGGGAAGTTGCGAATATGTTAGTTGGAAGGTAAATAAAATATTATTTTACCAGCAATCTGATTTAATATGTCACGTGTTAAGTTTTTATTGGATGAAGTGGTTACACAAAGGATTTTTATATTTGACCCTTTATTTGAACATGAACACCTTTTGGACTTAGTCCATGTCCATATTTGTCCATGTCTAATTAAAATTTTGTTTGGACATAGTCCAAATGCCAACACTGACTATAAAAAACAATTATAGTTTATTAATTCAAATTATAGCAACAAAAAAACCCAAATTTATTACAGATATAATTTTAAGCCTAAATCCACACACCACTGATGTAAACAAAA